GATTTAAACCCTCAGAAGCCTAAGGTCTGACGATAGGGTCAGAAATGATTGCTTTGAGATGATTTTCCTGCATGTCATAGCAATTAAACATCTGAGAAGCTCTGCCATCCTCCCCTTCATAGTCCAAACCTGGAGAAGTCTAAAAGCCTAATCAGAGAGTAGTTGAGGTAGAGGAGGTGGAGATAAATTGAAAGGTAGAAAACAAAACAAAGTGGACAAAGCCACACCCTACACCGCAGGCTTCCAGCCTGAAGCAGGACTGAACTGGGGAAAATGAGAAGTTTTGACGTGAAATAAAGTTTGTGTGACTGTCATGAGATTTCATCCAAGGTAGAAAAAGAAATAGTCTTCAGAGAATTTGAAGGAACAGAAAAATAAACAATAACATTCTCCTTGCACCCTAATGAATCCTGCTCCTTGAATAAAATGTACATCCCTAACAAAACCCCAACCCTGGATGAAAGAATCCTGATTTAATATAATATTACAGTTCATTTATTCGGTAAATATTATTGGTCACCTGCTGCATGCTAGGCTTTGATATAGGTAGTAATAACAACAATGTAGAAGACAAAGTATTTAATGTAAGTAGAGAAGTTTTAAATGTCACTGGAGGTAATGGTGACATTCTATGTCTTGATAGAGATTTGAATTACATAGGTGTATGCATTTGTTAAAACTAGAATTCAGTATTTGATTATAGTTTTTTCTTTTGATGTAACATGTACATAAAATGATATGTACTTATCTTAACTATCTGTTTGCTGAGTTTTGACAAGTGCCTGGTCATCACAACACTACCTCCCTTTATTGTAAGCAGGTAACCTTGCCTCCTACATCACTGAGAAAACAGAAGACATTACACAGACATTCCCTCAACTTTCAGCATGAAACTTATAAATGTATCAAATCTGCACCCACATCGATCTTTTCTTCCTTTCCTCCGTTATAGTAGATAACATGCCCCTACTCCCATCAAAGGCCTATTTCTTCCCCTGGTATTTGTAACCTGTCCCCTCCAAGCTTCTCAGAGGCCTTCATCTATTGGATTATCCCTCACATTCTGAACCCTCATCTCAAAGGATGAGGCTGTGTGAGTACTAAAGGCTGAATTTTCTCTTTCCTCAGAGTGCTAACATATGCCATATACTCTTCTTGAAACAATTTTCCCACTTCTCCTTTACTGATCATAACTCCTACTCACCCTTCAGGTCTTTGTGTAGATGCTATTTATTCAGATATGCCTTCCCTGTCCTTCCATCCCTTACCATGGCAGCACCTATTGTACTTCCTTTTTCATGACACCCATCTCACTTGTTCTATGCATGTCTTGCCCACAAGACAAGCATGGTCTCATGTCTCATTAACTGCTGTATCTCTAGTATTTAGCATAGTACCTCATACATTAAATATTTATTGATGAATAAAATAATTAATTTGCATTCATTTATATCATCTGTAAAATGTAGTATTTTTAAAATGACTTTTTTCACAGATTTTAATTTTTTATTTATTAGCTATTGCCATCTTTTTTAAGATTATATTAAATGAGAAAGGCATTGTGACATTTTTCTTATAATTCTTATCATTCTGTTCTTATAATTTTAAGGAATGTCTTGTACATAGAAGATTCTCAATGAAAACAATTTCACAGTCATAAAAATCCCATAATGTGGAAAGATCCTTGGGAATCCTATATTTAAATTTCCTCAGATCATTCCTCAGAAGAAGGAAGAAAAGCAGAAATACTATAGTATTTTTATGAGTGCCTTTCTCTTACCTTTTTACTCAGATGAGGGTATATTATGGCTATAGACCACCAGTAGAAAGACAATCTGAAAATTCAGTTATTTTATTTTTCAGTTGTGAAGGAGGACGGTCATCTGTTAGTTTACATAACTATTCCTTATAAATAACTTAGTTTTTCTGAGTAACCAACCCTAAATTCATTCAGCGTTCACTGAATCCCAACTAGGTGTGTGAGAGGCACTAGGAATTAACATTATGTTAACTGCACATATATGTACAAATGTTCATATACAAATGTTCATACTCTGGCAATTTAAATACACATGCATTTATATTACATTTAAGGAGGCAGAAGAGTTACTAAAATTAAATATATTTAAAATGTAAATATAAGTGGGTAAACATACATGTTTCTCCTTTCAAATTGTTTCTATTGCCAGCCTTGATGCAAGTCTTGCTGACACAATATAGCTCCTTTCAGCAGATCAATATACGATACAGGTTGAATGTCCCTTATCTGACATGCTTGAAGCCTTAAGTGTTTCAGATTTTGGATTTTGGAAGATTTGCATTATAATTACTGGTTGAGCATCTCTAATCTGAAAATCCAAAATCTGAAATGTTCCAATGAACATTACCCTTAAGCGTCAGGTCTGTGCTCAAGAAGTTTCTAATTTTGGAGCATTTGGAATTCAGAAGGGTTTGGGATTTCAAATTTTCCAATTAGAGATACCCAATTTGTACCAACGTAAGTACAGCAAGGGGCCTTCACATAAGTCTCATATTGGAGTCTAATAACCAGACTAATAACCTAAACTAAAAAGGCAATTAGTCTTTACTGATGTCTCCTGAAGCATGACAAAGCAAATTTCTTAAAATCTCTTTCCCATTCCTAGCTGTGGATCTCCACACCAGTGCCCCAAACAGCAGCCATCTCAACTCTCTTCCTTCACTTAAGTGTAATTTAGCTTATACAGCTGTTCCTAGGTATTCGAGGTGGATATTGGCTCCAGGATCCCTGCTGATACCCAATCCCTGAGTGCTAAAGATCCTTATATAAAATGTTGTAGTATTTGCATATAATCTATGCATACCCTCCAATATACTTTAAATCATCTCTAGATTAGTTATAATACCTAATACAATGTAAATGCTTTGTAAACAGTTGCTAAATTGTATTATTTGTATTTTATTGTTGCACTTATTTCTTTTTTCCCCAAAATATTTCTATTTGCGGTTGTTTGAATCTTCACCGAGGGTGTGTGTGTTGGAGGGTGTGTCTGAGGAGATGTCTAGAAGGAATTTGCCATGCTAACAGTAGTGTCCAGTTTCAAGACAGTCTCTGCCCTTAAGGAGCTAAGGATCTGAAGATAAAATAATTACCTGCTGGGTGGTGTTATTTGGTACAGATCCTGCATAGAATTAGGAGTTCTGAGATGGGCAAGATCAGCCTGGATATAAGTCTAGAGGTGAACATGAACCTGGACAATGAATTAACTAATCAATAAATATTTGTGGGGCACTTCCTAGCAGGGCTTCTTCCAGTCATTTTGTGTATGCGTTTTACATATGCATTTTTCTAGGGCAAGACTCCATTATTTTCAGAATATTCTCATTCCTTTATAGTCATGACTCCCTTTATTTGCGTAACATAAGGAAGGAGCAGATGTACAGTGGGCAGATAAAAGCTCTTCCAACATCACTAAGAGGTGGTTTCAGATCCTGAAGAGGTCTTTGAGGTCCAGGGTGACCTGGGTCCTAAGTGGTCTGACACTTCTCGTTTAACAGTCTCCGGAATGGAGTGCACTTCGGGGCACCTGCTCCTAAGCGTCTCCACCTGGCCTCAGCTTCTAGGCCAGCCCAGGTTCCTGCTACCCTGGCTGAGGCCATTTCCTGTCACTCCGCCCACTGCCCCTCTCTGCCTCCTCCCTACTCCGTTCCCTTCCATGCGCCTCCATTTCTAACTACGCCTCCCGTCCATTCGGGCCCTTCTCGGCTTCCGTCCCAGATGATCCCTCCCCGATGCTGCCACCGCCGCCTCCTTCTCTCGGAGTTGGAGCCGCCTCCTAGACCAGTGGCGTAGCCGTATCGGTGTCGCGGCCAGCTAGATAGGGGCGGAGGTCCGGAACCCAGTCTGGACCCGAGCGGGGGGCCATGGAGAAAGCGGCCCGAGGCGCTGTTTACATCGACTAGCGCGGGCCCGTTGCGGCTCTGCAGGCGCCATGGACCGAGCCCCCACGGAGCAGGTAGGCAGGCTAGGGTTGGGCCCGCCGACCGGGGGTTGGGGTCGCCGCTCCCTCCCAGGCCAGGCCCAGGTCTCCGAACGTGGGGACCAGCGGCCGGAGTCTTCAGGTTCCTGCAGTCGCAGACCCCCTCGCCTGGGAGCCTGGCTGCTCCCGGCTCTCCTTCATTGTTGTCTGGGACGCGGGGGCTTTTCCAGCCCTGATTACTTCCCAGACTGGGGGGCTCGCCGTTGCCGCTCCTCCCCGGCTTGGTGAAGGGGTCAGAAGGCTCCAAGATGTCTGTGCTCTCCTGCGAGGAGGGCTTATAACTTCCAGCAGTCTCTCCCTTCCCCCATTCCTTTCAGCTGTGGAATGTGTTTTCGAGGTAGAAAGGCGTTTGAAGGCTTCTCACCCAGAAAGGCTGAGAGAATGTGTGGTAACTACAGATGAAGGGAAGCCACGGGCCTTTCACATCTATGTCAGTTGAGCTAAGCATTGTTTTTGCAGTGGTTTTACGGAGGTGTTTCTTTTAAGAAACGATATTGCGATTTCCCCTTGTCCTTTTATCCAGTGATTTTGCAAAGAACTGTAATTAGTGTTTTTTTTTTTTTAAAGCTAGCTTCTATTTTAAGGGTGTAAAGCATAGGCTTATTTTCGAAACCGTTTTCATATTCGCAAAGTAGTCCCTTTAGTGTTCTGTTTTGCTTTTAATTGCATCAAATTTCTGATTATCCATGCTAGTAGGTGCTGGGAGGCAGGGATAACGACATTGTTAAAAATAGTCGAAAACAATAGTTTTCCCCCCAGTATTTTCCACTCTTAAGATCTCTGCGAAAGGACTTAATTTGAAGTCCAAGTTTATTGACTCTCTCTTCCCTCATTGATGATTAGATGACGAAAGAAGAGGGGCTAGTAATTTTTGTCTATAAAATTTACGCATGGATAACTAGCACCTGAATTAATGAGATAAGATTTCCCAAATTCCTGTATATATATGCCTATATGTAGTTGAAGCCGGTTTGTATTTTGAAATCGGACTCTTAGCAGGCAAAGCACAGCTTCCTAGTTGTGTATACTTGTTTTTACACACTTTTTTTTTTTTTAAAGAAAAGCTTTATGTGAATGTAACTCTGAAGACACAAATGAGTTTTATAAAGCAATACATGGAATTACCAAAGCGAAATTGATGTGGAGCCTCTTGGCAAATACACGTAGGCGTTTATGTGACCTAGAGTATTCTGTAGAATACTCTAGTTTAAAAACGTTTTTGAAGATATCTATCAAAAATACGTGAGATTTCAAAGCCTGACAAATGAATATGAATTTTCCTTGAATCATTTCCTTGTATGTGTGTTATTAATGAAAGGGTTAAATATTTTGTTCCTTCACCAGGATGCCAGGACTAAAACCAGTAATGCTACCTTATGTATACTTAGTTCCTTTCATCCTAGAGGAAATATAATTAACTAGTTAGATGGTAATTTTTAGCATAGCTGTTTGTGATTATCTTAGCAGCAAGTGCTGTGAGCAAATTATTTAAACTAGAGAGCCTTTTCCTCTTTCACCCCACATTTTTCCAAAGTCCACGACCTATTAAAACCTTGTAGAAATTTAAGAACTAGGGAAAAAACATGGAAGAAGGTTTTCTGTTTTTTTTCCTTTCAGTACCTCTTACCTCTTCCCCAACCTAACCCTAAATGAAAGAATAATTTGAAAATCCTCCACTTCCCTATACACTCAGAAAATAGTTCCAGAAGAGTGATATCTTCGCCTAGTTTATGTGATAGGCAGTTAATTCAAGGGTCCATGAATGACCTGGAAGGAGTGTGCTTCATTATATGCCTTTTTCTAGGGCAAGACTCCATTATTTTCATCATATTCTCAAAGGATGGCTAAGAACCATTAACTTAATGGTAGATTAGGGACTGAGATTTCTCAATTTTGTGGAATTTTTGATTCTTTATACCATAAAGTCATGTAATGGCTTTTCCAGGATATTTGGACTATACTTTTGTATTTCTGCTATTGAAGTGAATTTAGGTAGGTAAAAGTCGTTGAAAAGTATATGTAATACATGCCAATTTCCATTTTTCCTCAAATAACTTTTTTGTCCCTTTAGACCAGTGTTGACATACTCAATTTCTCTGAATCCCTACAGCATTAAAACTTACTTATTATAGTATTGTAGTAGTTCGCAATTTATAGAAGTTTGATTTTTTAAAAATAGTACTTAATAGACTTTCTGCATTTTATCTTAACCTAATTAAATGCTTGTGTGCTTTACAAGTGTAACTTTAAAAAAAAAAGTTTTTTTTTTTTTTGCCTGAAGGCATTCATGTTCTTGTAAATTACCTTTTTTTGATACATAAAATCTTTTTATAGAAAAGGTAAATTGGATGTGTGCTGATCAAGATGATAAAAAGTTGCTAGGAATACAATGCTAGATGGATAATCTTAATTGCAGTAATGATTATTTGAAAGAATGTTACAACTAGAAGAAAATCTCAGGAGTATCCTCTGTCAGCACTCTCTTCTGTGTAGGGTATTCTCTGTATATCTAAAAAGCTAGCTTAATTTTAACTGCCAGACTTAGATGTTCTAAGAAGATGCGTTGCTTGGTATATAAGGCATTTTTTCCCCTAAAAACAAAAAAAGCTTGCATAAAGAGATGTGAAGAATAAATCATGGAGTTCATTTTGTTTATAAAGACTTACTGCTTGTATTTTTACAAAATTCATTGAGATCTTAAAAAATAAACAATGGGCTTAGAAGTGACAGAACACGTGAGGTTTACAGTCTCTGTTATCACAAATAAATGTTGGCTTAATTTTTAGTACATTAGCATTAAATAGTTCTTTTAAAAGACTATACAAAATTACTGGTTATTGATGTCTTTAATTTTTGGAAAAACTAATGAATACATACTAGTTCATGCAACATGCTTTTTACCAGTAAGGATACAGATTGTCTGGCTTTTCATTGTTTCCTTTAAATAATTTATAAACTTTTAATAATGTCAGTATCCCAAATGAAATGTATTCTGAATAAGTTATCCTAAAATGTTTGTTATTCAGTAATACTTATAGTTGGCCCTTACGTAAGGATATAAGTAAATGACTTGTCTCACCAGACTTAAAAAATAATATGTTTATAATAAAAATAAAGTATTAATATATACATATTCAAATTTAAGGAAAATATCATTTGGAAATTTTAAAAGTTTTTTTTTTTTTTTTTTTTTGAGATGGAGTCTCATTCTGTCACCCAGGCTGGAATGCAATGGCACTATCTTGGCTTACTGCAACCTCTGCCTCCCTGGTTCAAGCGATTCTCCTGCCTCATCCTTCCGAGTAGCTGGGATTACAGGTGTGCACCACCATACCCAGCTAATTTTTGTATTTTTAGTAGAGACGGGGTTTCACCATGTTGGCCAGGCTGTTCTCGAACTTCTGACCGCAGGTGATCCACCCACAGCAGCCTCCCAAAGTGGTGGGATTACAGGCGTGAACCACCACACCTGGCCAAAAAGATGTTTTCAAGCTCTTAGGTCATTTTCGAGCACAAACTCTTAGAAATAAGAGTTAGAAAAATAGAATGATAGGTTATTGAACTCTTAGAAAAATAGAATGATAGGTTATTGAAAATGTATTAATAATAAAATACCACATACGAAAAACCAATGGGGCCCAGCATGGTTGTATATACCTGTAGTCCCAGCTGCTAAGGAGGCTAAGGCAGGGGCATCGCTCGACCCTAGCCAGGTGTTCTGGACTGTAGTGTGCTATATGGATCAGGTGTCTGCACTAAGTGCAGCATCAATGTGATGACCTCTCTGGAGTGGGAAAACTCCAGGTTGCCTAAGGAAGGGTGAACTGGCCCAGGTCAGAAATGGAGCATGTAGAAACTCTGGTGCTGATCAGTAGTGAGATCACACCTGTGAATAGCCACTGTACTCGAGCTTGGACAACATAGTGGGACCCTGTCTCTAAAAGAAAAACAAAAAAACTAAAACCTTTGGGATGTGGCTGAAGCCATGCTCTGAGGCAAATGCATAGTCATAAATGCCTTCATGATTAAACAGTTTACCAGGAAAATAAAAATTAAGCATCCAAAGCAGGAAGTTAGAGGAGAAACTCCATCAAATCAAGAGAGATAATATAATTTAAAAACAAAGTAATAGATAATTCAGAAACTAATATTAAATCTAGAAAGCTGTTTTTTTAAAGTACCCATCAGATTTAACAAACATTAAGATTTGGAAAAAAAAGGGAAGTATGGGTAGCAAAGCATTCTGCCCAGTATGGGCAGAATATAAGTTAAATATTTTGATTTTTCTTCCTCATTATTGTCTGGAGTCTGCAAAACTTACACATACAAGTACTGTGGTTTGTTTTGGCATTTTAATCAGAAAACATCACAGCTAGTAGTTATCTCTTGAGCATTAATCATTTTGTCCCTTCAGAGGACATTTATGTTATCTTTTGCCAGGAGATATAAAGTTTGAGATATCCTATTTTTACCTTAACATAGAAAGAATATGGAGGGTTTCCATGGTCATGTTTTTTGGGTGGGTGGTACATACTCTGGAGTTTCACAGTGGGAGAGTGTCTCGTTATGTTCCAGCTTCAGTTTTGATTTTAAGTGGGTGTCAGTTTTCTATTGCTTAATCTGGGAAAATTATTTGCATTCATCTGGAAGTTCCATCTCTGAGGAATTTAGTGTACATTTTCTGCCGATGCATTCCTTTGTAGTAACGTTTGCCCATTTTCCCTAACCCAGTCTAGCACAGTGCTCTTTCCATAGTGTATACTCAATGCATGTTTGTTGAATTATATAGGCTCTCAATGATCTGAATACATTTATCTAATAATATCTTTTAAATAATATTTTTGTTTCATACTCTGACGGATTCTTGAGTTTTATAGATTATGTCAAAAGCATTTTATTTAAAGACATTTGCCTTAATATACACAAAAAATGAGCATGAAACTGGTTAAATATTTTTACAAAGATGATTCTGAGACTGATTTTTTTCGTTAATTTGGAAAATTCTGAAAGACGAAGATAATTTTACTATATAGATAGTTGTGCTTTTTTGTGAAGTAAATAATACAAGAATGATTAGACTTTGTTAAGTGTAGTGTACATTTATTCCATATTTATTTCCTTTATGAAGACAAGTCCCTGCTATGAAGTTTTTAATTCCTAAAAAAAATAGATCTTGGTAAAAGTAGAGAGACTAAACAGAGAAATTCAAACTGAGAAGTAACATTCTATAATATAACTAGTCTAGTTTTTCATACATTTTGTTATTCACTATTCAAGACATAGTTCTTTGATTTCTATACTAATATAATTAAAATGTTGCCAGAATTTATTATTTATTTAACATGTTATCTATGTGGGCTTTATTATGTGGACTTTTTAGAATAGTTTGGGATCTTAAAAGAATGGTTTGGATCACTGCTTTTCATTGCTGAGAACAACAGATGCTGCATTTTGATGTATATTACTGAAGGCCCCAAAGTCACAATAAACAGCTTTTGAAACCTTACAGAGTTGCAGCTATAGGAGAAAGTTTGCCAGTCTGTTCCTACTAGTGACATCTTCTGTTTGTGCAGCTGTTGACTATTGCAGCTTCTCTCTCTCTCTTTTTTTTTTTTTTTTTTGCTAAAAACAAAGGATCATTTTAGTGTTTCTGAGTTTTATTGTTGAACTCTGATATCTAGAATTGCTCTTAGAACAGAAACCAATACAAACTTTAATATTTAAAAGCACATGCTGTGTATATATACAGACATTAGTTTTAAATTATACATAATACCCTTTAAATAGTAGGTTGCCTAAGTTTATAAAACTTTTTTTTTATAAAGTACAAATGAAGTGGGGTGTAAAAATTGTTTGCAACTTTTGACCTGAGCAAGAATTTGAATTTGTTGCTACCAAAGTCATTTATGAGTTGACATTTTTTGGTGGGGAGAGGTCAGGAAAAGTATTATTTTAAAATTATTTATTTATAATTAGTATGGTTAAGATTGATAATTTGATGTACCCATGTACCTTCCTGAAAAAAAAAAAAAAACCTGAATGTCTACTAGCTCAGATTTATAAAACTGCTCAGTGAGTTATCATATGCCGAAAAGGACTTTCTGATTTTTAAAAGAAACCCTGGCCAGGCTCATGCCTGTAATCCCAGCACTTTGGGAGGCCAAGGTGGAAGGATCAGTTTAGCCCAGAAGTTCAAGACCAGCCTGGGAAACATGGCAAAACCCCATCTCTACATTAAAAAGTTTGCTGGGCATGATGATGTGTGCCTGTAGTCCCCATGACTTCAGAGACAGACGGGAGAATCACTTGAGTCCAAGAGATTGAGGCTGCAATGAGCCATGATCACACCACTGCACCCCACCCCAACCCCATCCTGTGACAGAGTGAGACCCTGTCTCAAAAAAAAAAAAAAGAAAGAAAGAAAGAAATCCTAAAAACTACATTTTTAGTACAGTTAAAACGTGATTTCAGTTTCTTTTTATCTTTTTTTTGCCCCTGCCCCACCCAGTTTCTTTTCTTACGCATATATGTGAACTTTATGAAGCAAGCTTCCATTATCTTTGCATTATTGCTCTAACATTTATTGGTTTGATATATTGTGTCTTATATAAGTTAAGCCTGGGTTCTAATGAATATCACAGAATGAGCAGTACTAGCTTGTATCATTAGTGTTTGAAGATGTTTTTGCCTGTTATGTTAAACTTTAAGTAAACTAAAATGGATTACATACCTTGGATTACTTTAGTTTACTCAGATGTGTACTGGGAAACTGAAGTACTCATATTTTCCCCAGTTTAATTGTGAAATTTTTTTCTTCTTAATGTTAAGTATTTTTTCATCTTAGACGTTTTCTTTTCTTTTAATTTAATGATACTAATTTCCAGAAGTGAACATAGACAGTTTTTAAGACTATGGAAACAAATACAGAGTAATAATTACCCTTCAGAATTTTGTTTGATTTTTCCCCCTAACAAAATGAGTTAAAAACACATTGTTTTGTCTGAAGAGCTACATTTCTTACTGCCAACTTTATTTTTAGTCACTGAGGTGTGCGTCTGTGTTCTCTTGATTGTTTTTAACAGTTTTAATTACATTGAAATGTAACAGTTGATTTATTTTCCTTATTTGATGGCTTTGTCTAAGTAACTTGATCATTCTTCAGTTATTTTAAAAGTGACATTGCTCTTCCTTTTGGATGTTTTAGGAATGCTGAGAAGAGAGCTAATTACTGTTTATAAAAACTGACTCTTCTGTTGTTGAGTTCTGAATTTGTATTAAGTTGCTTGCTTGTTTGTTATTAATGTATTCTACCTTCTCTTTGAAGAATGTCAAGCTGTCGGCTGAGGTAGAGCCATTTATTCCCCAGAAGAAGAGTCCTGATACATTTATGATCCCTATGGCTCTCCCAAATGATAATGGAAGTGTTTCTGGTGTAGAACCAACTCCAATTCCCAGCTACCTGATTACTTGTTACCCATTTGTGCAGGAAAACCAGTCCAATAGGTAATTTGTTTATTTTTTGTGGGGGTGGCTGTAAAAGTTGACAAAGTACACTTAATATTTTTCTTTTGCAACTTTTAGACATTAACCATTTCTCTTATTAAGAGGAGTAAATAAAATGGTACAGAAATTCGGAAATTGTTAACATGGATTCGTTTCTCATTTTTTCTAAGAGAGAACCGAATTCTTAGGCTATGTCTCCTTCAGTAAGTCATTGAAATTTATTTAAAGTAAGTCAGCTCGAAGAAGAAATAAAATACTCAGAAGTGAACAAAAACCTTTTTTATGAGATTAAACATCTAATCTCATAGTTGCCAAGACAGTCTCTGGTGTAAGAAGAAAATACCAAGCAATAGTCCTTAACTTTGAAGCTGTCATGGTTAGCATATATTTATATTTCTAGACTCAAATGTTAGTTTAAATTTATGTTTATTTTATTGCTGTATAAAAGTACTTTCAGCCTTTTTCAAGTTATATCATACAGAAAATTTTGTTTGTCTACGACTATAAATGGATGAGGCAGCTGGTGACTGGCTGTAGGCTCTGTCATCCCTGAGGGCTGAGGCAATCAATATTTCCACACACCTGTAAACCATTGTTGCATACTAGTGTACCAGTGCACATTCTTTGAGAAATTGTGGATGTATGGTATATAAGGTCATTCAGCTACTTTCTCAAATACTAATTGTTCAAGTTAATATTCTGAGACTCTCAATAGTCTTGAGGGTTGGACAAATAGTAGAAACTAAGGAATCATTTTCAATTGAAGTTAGCATTATATTAAATATCTTGTCTATATTGGATAATGTGCAAGCTGATTCATTAAACTAAATTTAATAGTAATATTTTTCTATTTGAAAAAATGGCCAGGTATACAGTATGATAAACTTAATTGATTTTCTTTATTTACCAAATAACTTTTGTGAATTGTTATGAATTGTAATGAATAAACGAGTCAACAGATTATTTAAAAAATATTTTTAGGAATATGACAGTGAACTATTTTGCTTTGTCGTGAGAGTAATGAGGAAAAGCTCTGTGCTTCAACTCCGTACTCCCTAGGACCCCATATTGATCGGCAGGAACCTTTGGTAAGGGGGTGCTGGGACAGGAAGAATTTTGCTAGTGTTTTATTTGAATTGCATTAGAAGAAGCTCCAAGGCTGGCAATGTTAGTGGGCAGACTTGCCTCTTCTCTTCTTTCACTTGGACTTAGAGCCTGCTTCTATTGCCAGGAGGGGAGCCAGGAAAAGAGCTGGACTTGGCCAAGTGATTAGGGGAGTATGAGAGGAAGAGTAGGAGGCTCTGGGATTGAGCTGAAGAATGAGAGGTGAAGGAATTAAATCACCCTATGTATAGATCACCTTACACAATGGTCACCTTAACTGTTCTTTACAGAAGGCTGTGACAATTGTCCTTGAATGGGAACTTCGGACTGCCATTGTTGGTAGATCCCAGTAGCTAGGTGTTTGACTTTTAGGCAGAAGTACCTTGAGGAAGGTTGAAGGTAAAGTTACAAATACTAGTGGTATGTGGAATACTGTAAAACCATCAGGTTGGGTTCGTTTATACTGTTGTTTAAATTGTTACTACATGAGCATAACGATCTCTGATTACAGCAAAGAAATGTATAAGGTGATGTTAGTTTTGTCTCCTTCCCCAAAATTATCATGAAGCCACTGTTCTGCACTGTTTTGTCTTTTAATGAGTTAAGAGCTTTTGCTTTAGTAGTATTTTTAGACTTGTCAATAGATTTGTTCTTTTTTGATTTGGTTTTGCAGACAGTTTCCTTTATATAACAATGATATACGATGGCAACAACCGAATCCAAACCCTACTGGACCATACTTTGCCTACCCCATTATATCTGCTCAGCCACCGGTTTCTACAGAGTATACATATTATCAGCTGATGCCAGCACCATGTGCTCAGGTTATGGGTTTCTATCATCCTTTTCCTACACCTTACTCAAACACCTTTCAGGCTGCAAATACTGTAAATGCTATTACCACAGAATGCACTGAGCGTCCAAGTCAGCTTGGACAGGTCTTCCCATTGTCCAGCCATCGAAGCAGAAACAGTAACAGAGGAACAGTGGTACCAAAAGTAAGTGTCTGGTTTCGGTTGGCTTTTAAATTTGATATTACTTATATTGGTATAAGTAATTTGCTACTTGAATTGATTGACCGTTAATGCTGAATTTACTATAAACTACATTGTTCACTGTTATAAAATGGTAAAGGTTGTGTAATTATTAAGATAACTTCCTTTGTTTTGTTTATTGCTCGTTCTTGATTGTGATATGATTTGTAGTCATTTTCATGTTCCTTAAGAGAGTTTCACTAAGGCACACATATTTACAAATTATTTTATTTAGTGATAAAAATTGTGTGGTGACACCAGCATTTATAAGTGGTTATTGTGGATTTTGTGCTGGCTGTGTTGAATGGCTAATGCACTTAAAGATATTTCAGTTGGCCAGGTGCAGTGGCTCACACCTATAATCCCAGTACTTTGGGAGGCTGAGGCAAGTGGGTCATTTGAGCCCAGGAGTCTGAGACCAGTCTGGGCAACGTGACAAAACCTCATCTCTACAAAAAATACAAAAATTAGCTAGGTATGTTAGTGCATGCCTGTAGCTCCAGCTACTTGGGAGGCTGAGGTGGGAAAACCACGAGCCCAGGAGATCAAGACTGCAGTGAGCTGAGATAGCACCACTACACTCTAGCCTGGGTGACAGAGTGACACCCTGTTGCAAAAAAAAAAAACAAAAAAAAAACCACCCAAAAGATATATTTTCAGTCTTTAAAAGTTAGCAGTAGACATTATGGAAAAGAACATTGGTGATTCATGAGATCCCTTCAACTTTATTGTTTCGAATCTGTGAATTTTTAGTAGAAATAGCACTTTGTTATTTAAGAGGTGCTTTGCTTTTATATAAACAAGGGTCTCCTAGACTGAAGAAAATGAAAGGTAAATATGTGGAACCACTTTTATTCAGTACCAGCCTTTTGACTAAGTAAAAAAGAAAAAAAGAAAGAAAAAGAAATGAAGGCTTTGAATCACAAGAGAATTAAGATTTAATTTTAGTTAACTTTTTAACTTAAAAGGCTATTTTACAGTTGAAGCCTTATTGTCAAAGCTAATGAGCAGAAAAAACATGTTTCTAGTTAGCACTTTTGAGCTGATAGAAGAGGGACTTCTTAGACATACCTTACGAGTACATCATCCAGGCGTTGATGCTTTCCCTAGATTCCATTAGCCCACCTTCCTCAGTGAAGTCTTTGTTACCTCCTCATATAATTTGTAAAAATTGAGATACAAGCAGCAGAGGTTGCTTTGAAAAGCTTTTAGTTTTTGTTCCTGGAACGGTTCTTGGTCAAGGAATATCCTTTTGGGAACTCAGAATGAAAAAACGTGTTAGAAATAAGATAATAGTATATAATTTCCAGATGTTGAAGGAATGTTCTCAGAAATACATTTTCAGCACTTCAGTTTAGGAAGTTCAAGAAGTTAAATTCTGATTTCTGTTGTG